ACTGCTCGACAAGAGGTTTTTTTTTATTGAAGTGCGGCGTCAATTTTCAACTGTTGCTTTTCCACATTAACCAGTTTGTATTTTAGGGATGAAGAGAGGCATCGGTGGCAACTGCGGTTAAGGCGTTGACACGGTGCTTATCACTGGAAGGTAATTGTCCTGGGTTCGAATCCAGCGGCCCTGCATTCGAACCCGACATAATTTAACAAAAATAAAAGCACCGGCACTCCGAGGGTTCATAGAACCTCGTAATTGAAATACCCTCGTTAAAGGAAGGATCGTTGAAAACGACACATCTGATGGTCACTAATCTAGTATCTAGTAGGCACACGGATCGAGTAGGCAGGAAAGTACAGGTGCAGGAGTTTTCGGTTCTGGAACCAAATACTCAGAACCCAAGTAAGGATGGAATAGCGAGATGTTCAATTTAACAAAGGGTACAAAAACAAGAATGTAGCTATCATGTCAGATAGCCCAGCAGCCATCAAAGCACTAAGTTCAAACATTATTCGCTCATAGATGGTGCAAAATTGCAAAACTAAACAAAATAGATTAGGTATGCAAAATAAAGAATCGCAGTAATAAAAAAATTCTACGATACTATCTTTTATGCTAAATAACTGTTCATATTGAAGTCGTATTGTAGTGGGAAGTTACAGCGCTACTTTACTTTCCCTACACTTCATTGTTATATGTATTGCGCTTAAATCACGTAAATAATCATTAATTCATTCAAAATAAAGTCACACTCTGCTGGGTCCTAGGACACGTGGGAGTATAGGTCAAGGAAAGATCGAACACCCTTGAAAGGAAAGGTAGGTAGGTAGTAGCTATTCCGCTAACCTGTGCCCTTCTGTGTCACTCATCACACTATCAATGAGTATCTAGTCAAAAATACAGGACGAAAATGAGGTATCAGCGGAATCCACTCATTCGAGACAAACAATTCAACAAATCAAGGGCGAGTTTCGGAAGGAAAGACCAACAGGAAAAAGGAAGTAGAAAAACTTGAAATTACGTATATACATATATACATGAACTTTTTAAGTGACCCGGTTGTTTAATAATTTGTTGGAGTCGTGAGGAGCGGTCAAGAATGAGGTAGTTTAGCAAAACACCTTTTCTTTTTTCGTGCCGACGTTTTGACCTTTATTCGGGTCACCTTCAGGGCCTGGGTGAATTACAAAATATGTTGATTGGAAAAAATACAATACAGCTGTAAATATACATTTTGAACCAAGTATTTCATACTCATATAAAGTGTCGTGCTGTTCTTGTGATGTTATATTGGTTTAGTGTGAAATTGTTGTGAATTTGTATTCTGCTGTTCAAACTATTCACTACAACTATGTTCGAAACATCGGCAAAAAAATGAAAAAGGTGTTTTTCTAAACTACCTCATTGTTGACCTTCTCCTCACTACTCCAACAAATTATCTAATAACTTTGATATCTAAGCTACCATTTTTTCTATTGTTGATGTATTTTTTATTTGTTTTTTTGTTTTTTACATATGTACATATTACCTTGAAATAGCAGGTCTCTTCACTACACTTGTTTTGCTAAGGGTCAGAGAAGAACGAAAATATACAATTTTATTTACTACTTAAATTGAATTGTCATCTAATTATGTTCTTATTTTTCTTTCTAATTATGCTTTTCTTTGTACTGTTTTTATTATGAGATTTCCTTGTTTGTCTGCACTTTGGTTTATTCCAACCTTTTTCGTCTATTTATTTCGTTGTTTAGGTCCGAGTTTTGTCCGCAGGGAGGGTAAGCAGACCAAAACGATCGGAAATACCAAACTAAAAAATTACTTTTTGTTTATTAACCACTTATAAACCATGAACGGGATTAAGAAAGCGAAATTTTGCGATTTTCGGCCTTCAAGAAAACTTAAAGATATCATGAAGGTCTTGATCAGGAAGAACTGAAGGCCAGATATATTAAATAAAATATATTAATTGAAAATTGTGAAATATTAATCAACAAAGTTGATGTCTCAATTTGCAGTCATATATTAACAACATTCGGAGAATTGGAAAACCAGCTTGGCAAGTTCAGGCTGGTACTATTGGGTACGTATAACAGAGACATGATATAAATTGCTTAAAATGAATAGGGATATCTGTAATTTATTCTTATTCTATTAATTTTAATTAAATTATCCTATATATTCTTGTTAGTTGGATGAAACAAAAAAGAAAATGCAAATGTTAATCCCCAATTTTAATAACGGATTTGCTAAGAATAGTACACTCGAAGATTACGCATTTTGTAAACAAACACCTTTTCTTGTCTTTTCACCATTTAAATCCAGTCGTATACTCTTTAACCATGTAAAGACATCCAGAACCAGAAGTTCAAAAATTAATGTGATAATGATTCATGAGAATGGGTTATGGAGTACGAGAGAGAATGAGCAATTGGCGCTTCTCAGGGCGTGTTCTCCCGGGATTTAGCCAGATTCTGAGAGACTGAAGTGCCAACAGGAGGCCCGGTAGTAGATCTCAGCGCATTACGACCCTACGGTAGGACAGAAATATTGTCATTGCTGCAAGATGGAGCCCTTTCCAAGTGCCCGCCAGATCGTAAATGAAGTACAAGATGTTTCAGTAAAGCCTATTAATATTAAGAATCGTTGTGGGTGGGATGTTGTCCTCACATGTCCCTTTGCGATGACCTGCAGCAACAGCCCACCACCCGCAAATCAGGAGAAAATGGTGCAGCAAGCGCCTAGAAGAGAACACCAATTGGAATACTGTTATGTTTACTGATGAGTTGTTGTCTGTTCTCCCGAGAACAGGGGATGCGTACAATGCCCTAGTTCGTGCTCCCTTAAGTGCAGTTTGGAGGAGGCGGTGTAATGGGCCTGGATTTATATTGGAAGCCGAACTGGACTCTATATTGTTGAAGGCAACCTCACCGCAGTCCGTTATGCCCAAGAAATTATCAAAGAATACATCCCTCAAACCAGAAATCTCATTGACAGAGATTTTCGATTTCTTGATGACAATGCCAGACTTCAAAGAGGCAGAGTTGTTCATCAACTTTTAGAAAACCTTGGAATTTCCCATCTGCCCCCTTCCCCCATTGTCTCCAGAACTCAACCCCATTGAGCACATGTGGGATGCGGTGTAGAGAAGGCTTTTCGATCACCATCCGCAGCCAGTTGATCTGCAACGACTGAGTGCAACCTCGCAACATCTATGGGTTGATTTTCTTATGAAATTAGTGACAACCTTATTAACAGTGCCTAACAGGTGCACAGATTTTAACTAACAAAAGCCATTGTGTCAAAAACATTTTTGCCCTCAATGAAAAATATATGGAATGAAAACATTTTATTTTGTTATTTTTCCAAATCCCTTCATTAAATTTTCCTTCAGTAAAAAACAATAATTTCTAATAAATTTTAATTCAATTCATAATAAAAAAAATGCTATGGAAAGTAAATACTACAAAATTGGCAATATCCTATTCATTTTTGAGTGGTTTATATCTACCGACTACGACTACCCAATGGATGTAGTGGTTAGTAGGAAGCTATTTCATACAGAGATGATGGAGGCCCGTAAAAATGGAAAATTCTCTATAATTAAGTATGACAAACTTATTATTAAAGAATTACAGGGAACTCTCGCAAACTAAAAAAGGAGAAATGTGTCTTTGGCACCAGAGAAAGCAGCACCATCGACAGAACTTAAAAATGCCAAGAAATTAAATAAAGAGATATACAAAGGAAAGGACCAAAGGAATTCTTCAAAAATATGAATTTACACAACAAAAAAAACGAAACCCAGATGAAAAACGGGGAAAAACACCTGAAGGATTCGCGCTCGAAAAAGAGTGAAGGCATAGCAGCATCCATTCGGAGCAACACAACCCAGACCAAAGATAAATCAAGGGCAAACACGACATCGCACAAAATAGTAAAATCGAAACCATAGGTAAGAGATAGATAATTTGGTGTTGTGATACATCCCAGGTTTTGAAAAACTGTTAAATTTCGATATACATTAAACTTTTTCAGCAAAAGAGGATGTGTCGTCCGAAACATGAGCTTTTGAGTTCAGGGCCATTCGACATTTTTTACATTATTTTTTTAACGCTGGAGCAATTAAAGAAAAAGCCAAGTTCTGGACTTGATATTTTTTATAAAAGTTTTTGAAGCAATTTCACTTTTTATTATTACACACTTAACACCTTAAATTCGCCTAATAAAAGAAATCGCACTATAGAGATTGTCATCGCCATTTTTGAAATAGTTAAGTAAAGAAAGTTCAAAACATGAAGAAGATGAATTAATTCATTCTTTTGACCATCCTAAAAATGAAAATGCTAAAAAATGATTCTTCATCGAAAGGAGTGAAACTAATAATGAAGGTCCAGATAATGAAGTTCGGATTAATTAAGCGGTACGTGTAAAACAGTCGATACGCCCGTTTCAAAACCCCTTCGCTTAAAATAGAAACTTGGTCATTTGCCTAATAAAATACAATTTAAACAACGGAATAAAGGGAAAGAGGTGTGTTCGATTTGCAAAATAAAAACAGTCGGTTCATAATTTATTGTCGATGGATTTTTGTGCGAAAAATGTCAAAAATCGGTTTGCGAACGCGTCGAGGGGGTTTTAGGTGAGAAAGATAATTTTGCAAATATCGGTGAGGAAGGATGAAAATACGGGCGAGTGATAACGGCCCACGGCAGTGACGGTGAGCATGCAGGGGGAGGAGAAGAATTGATTATTTCTGGCAACACTAGGTCATTCTGCTCGCTCGGTTTTCTTCCGTTCCACGATTTCTCCTCCTCTCGCCCTTGCCCGACTTTAAAATCGTAAAGTGTAAAGTTTCGACTGAGCCGCGTCGTCCGACTGAGCGGTGCGCGCCCGAATCCGCGCTCGAGCCGAGCCCTTGCCGGCGTAAAGGCGGCCCTTCGAAAGGCGAAAGTCGGCCCTAGTGGAAAGCTTTCTGGCAAATTTTCTCATTGTTCAGGACTCACCATATAAAGTCCTTGCAGTGGCTGCAAAAGGTCGGCTGTTTGAAGAACCTCGGAATGAATTTGTGACCTTTAACGTTGTAGACGTTTTTCTTCTTGAGGGCACCCTTGCGACCGCGGACCCCCTGCCCGAATTGCGTGCTCATGTCGGCGTCATCGTTAGCGTTCGCTTCCTCTTCCGCCATGGTTTGGCCCTGAACAGAAGCGGATTGAGAGGCTGCCTGGAGGGAACTGAGTCTGACTCTGAGCCCTCGCGGACAGCGCTTCGGCCGGCCCCGCTCCAAAACACTCCGTCAATGAATTTCCCCCCACCCCCGCCACCGCGCCGGACCGGCCCTGGAGGGGCGATCCGGGTCACGAGAAGCCCACGTCCGCCCGCCCGACTCGACCGCAACCCACCCGGCCAGCCGGCCGACAAACATCTTCAAGCACTCTTCTTCATTTTTGCCGAGGACGTGACTCGACGTCCATCCTCTAATCGGCAGTCGGGAAACTTCAAAGCCCCAAATGTTTAAACCGGCTCGACTACGCCTGCGTTCCACCTACCACTATTACGATCGTGTTAAAACACGAGGATACCCAGATTCTGACATAGAACATTTTCATTGTACATCAACAACAAAGAGATACCGACGTCCATTCAAGTCAGATACTTAGGACTGTACCTAAACATGAGACTGACATGGAATCCTTATCCAAGGATTAATAAGCAGAAGACTCGGGGGGGGGGGGGGGTCAACAGAAGACATGGGCAACTACGAAGACTTCTAGGACCAAAATCTATCGTCAAAACGAAAGTAATTTATACAAGCTTTACTGCGACCCGCACCAACATCCAGCGCATCCAATCCTTCCAATCAAAAGCCCACAGAAAAAGCTCCTTACTACGTCACAAAGACCAGATCCGTTCCCGATTCCAAAAGTTTCACACCAACCTCTCGATCCATCCTAACCCTTCTGGTCGAGCCCTTTCCACACATTCCCATCCTCAGAACCCGCCAGGTCGCCTAAGTCGACGGTGACCTCGAGACCTCCTTGTCTCTCAAGGCATGTGTCCTCTGGGTGCAACGCTGGCATTAATGCTAGTGTTGTGACCATGTAAAATAAAACTTTTTTAATCACATTTGTAATATGTATAGGGTATTACAAATAAAATAATAATTATTATTTAGTACAGTAAACGGACTGAAATGTACGCTACCAGTCTTCGGTTAAAATTCCGGGTGATTTTACGTTTTTCCAGATTTATTTATTTACCGGCAATAGCCCAATAATTACAAAGAAAGACAAAGAACATTTAAAACATGAAAAACATCGAAATATTAAACATTGACAATAATTTTTTTTTCATTCATTTTCATCTACAACTTTATAAGTATTATATTCAACCAGCAGATTAGATTTCAATTTGTGTTCAAAAATCATGTGTGATCAAAATAATATTTGAGATTTAACTAGTAAATAGAACAATTGTAAATTAGATTAATTAACCGTACATACCAATATAAACACAACAATCAACCAGCACGTCCGGTATACATACACATACATATACATACACGCATATACACATACAAAATATGTACCAATTGACCGTTGTTGTGCAAGTTCCTCTCCAAACTGGCTTTAGATATATTATTAATATCTATACTGTTGGGTAGCATATTGACCAGATCCATTACCCTGTATATGGGAGAGCGAGAAGTGTAGTTGGAACGGGAAAATTGGTGGTAGATATGTTTTATTGCGGGTGTAGATAGAAGGGACGTGAAAAACCGAGATATGATAGTAATTCCGGGGTGTCAATATTATTATTAAGAAGGCCGAGGATAAATATTATATCGGACATATTTCTTCTTGCATGGAGGTCATCTAAATTAAAGGAGCTTGGTTTGTTGCGAAAGGGGAATAATTTCAGAAATTTCGCTTGTAATTTTTCTAACATTTGGATGTTGATATGGGTAGACCAAACAGAACTAGCAACTCTAGTACTAGTCGGACTATTGAAGTGCAAAGAGAGATTAGAGGATTGGTTTCTGTGAAGATGTGGGATGATCTATAAAGGAATCCTAGTAGTTTGTATGACCTTTTACGAATGGTTTCTATGTAAAGGTTGAATGTTAATTAACTATCATACTAGATTCCAAGTAGATATCCTAGGGCCTATTAAAAGGCCTTTTAAAAAAGGCGGAAAATGTTTTGTCAAACAAACACCCACTTAGTCGCCATTGTTTTGAATACCACTCGACCCTTTAGCAAACGAGCAAACGCTAATCATTTGTCTTTTGCCAGGAAACGTTCATCCACCAATTTCATAGCACCAAGAGACAGAGCACGTAACTCTAATACATGAATTTCACTAGCTTTTATTCGCGTCTTCATCTTCGTGGGTCTGATTAAATGTACCTTTGTAATGCGATGCAGTGGCTTTCTAATATAATGTTTTGTTTCTCAAATTCCTCTCTTTTTTAGTTCACTTCGGTCTATGGTAAAAACTTCTACTTCTGATCCCCTTAGGGATGGAATTTCAAAAAATACTTTCTCAGCGATTATCCATGTCATTATAGGAATGGACATGATCCAACCTCAATCGAATCCAATTCCATCAATCTAAAATTCCCAGAATAATAGTCAATTTTAAGTTTCCAATCATACCACCGACCTAAATATTTCTCTTGTACTTAACTAGCCCAATCCAGCTACAAAACGTTCCATTCCAAACTATTTCGTCAGATGAACCATTTCGCCCAAAAACTTTCATCCACCATATTATCTAATAATCCCTAAAGAAGATTGACGCGTCCGTGACCCCGCGACAACCTCACTACTTGACAACGGTCTCCGACGATGGAGCCCATCTCACTCATCATATTGATGTAATAACAGTATGACTGGATGGTTCTGTTCTTGTCCCCATGCTATTGTTTAACTGTATATATTACGTTTTATTTGTTGCGTCGAAGAATGCAGTTGTAGAAAAAAGAAGGATAAAAAATTTGCGAGCTTTGTCAACCACATAACGTATGGCTGTGTGTAGCCAGGTGCCTGGTTCGAAGCCATAATGAGCTCATAAACCATAATGCTAGCTATTCCCTACGCCTCTCAGAAAGACTATTTTCCCGCATGGGTGTGAAGACATCTACCGTTTTCTGTGCAAAGCCCGACTCTTCACGATCGGTGACCATTCATGATCACTCGACGGAGCGACGCCGTTCCAAAAACCATGTCAATGTCAAAACTGAACTGGCATGCCAGGCAGCGCCGAATATTCGACAGGTCCAAAATCCATCGCGCCACTAGCAAACATCTACGGCGTGACGACGGCATGGCGCGTATAAGAATGGAAAAACCTGGCGTGAACGGTGGAATATTGGCGCGCTGGTTGGTCGTGAATGGGAAAATCCGCTTTTTTTTAAGCAGTCTCCGTCTTTCTGTCACTTATATCAAATATATCCGTCGTACATTCTCAAAAAGTCAAAAACGTTTATTCTTTATTGGTAATGACATTCAATCGAGATATTATTGTTGAGGTGATTGAATTATATAAAAGTTTACCATGTTTATGGAACGTGGTGGACAATGATTATCACGATAGAAATAAAAGAAATTCGGCCCTCGACCAGTTGGTCGACCTTTCCAAAACAAAGGATACAAATGCAACGAAAGATGCGGTATTGATAACCCCTAAGCGCTGAGCAGAAATCGTAGTAGAGAACTTGTTCTTCGTAGTTCATCCCTGTGACGAGAAATCGTAATGTGGCTGCCAACCTTTCATGTGGAGAGATGATTTCTCTCATGACTGTCTTTTGTTTTCTAATCAAGGGGGTAACAAGCTGGAGTAAATATAAATAAGACGTTAATGTCCGAGATGATCGAAGTCATGATAGCTCGAGTGGTAGTGCAACGTCGTATTTAGCCGAACGTCGTGGGTTCGAATCCCGCTCGTGGCACTAGCTTTTTCATTTCAACCAAAGCCTTACAAAAAAAAAGATTAGTTAGAAAAAGATTAGATTTAGAGAGTTCAGACTGATAGCATGCAGTTCACCGGCATTGTCCCAGAATGAATTTATTCATAAGCTTAATGCCGGATAGGACCAATTTTTCGTTTTCCAGTCTTTTTCGTAGGTTGGCTAGACTTATAGAAGTACAAGAACTCAACGTGTTCCATTGAAAGACATCCTTTACTTCCAAATCGAAAACTACAATTGTTGTTGTACAATTGTTAAAAGCATGTTAATTCATGTTACCATGTCAACCACCACTAATACAAACTTACAAAAATATTGTTTATGATTTTCTCAGAATAAATGTTTATTTCATTTTTCCTGTGTTGGAATAATTGAACACGCTAAAAATAACTATTGACAAAGGTGATATCAGGAACGGTTGACATCAGAACTCTAAATATAATATTGCACTCATATTAAAATAATGTTTCATATCAACAATTCTTTTACACTTTGATATGCACATAATTCAGTGCTTTCAAAACTTTCGCCGCTTTTTCATTAAGAGTGCTAATTGTAAGGCTCTAAGTCCAAAAGGGCCATAATTTATGGCTAGTCCAAAGAAAACGCTTGCTGCGTGATAAACTTCAGTATATATTAGAACGACATGTCTGAAAAGTGAAGAAAGTAATAAAGCGTCCTTTTAAGTTTTCAACTACATTAGAAGACGGATTTTGTTGTAATATACATAATTTTTTTTGGGGGGGGGGAACAAGATACATTTGATTATTGATATACCGTAGTTCCAGTGGTTTGGTATTTCATATCGTACCCTTCACTAGACTAGCCGCGACCTGATGATTGTGTGCCGAGGAAAATATCTCAAAAAGATGCCGGCAAACCACATTGGTCATCGCCAGCCCTCTCTTCCTTAGTTTTATAATACTTTTCTTATTTTTCTCGCGTTTTAATCCTACTAATTTCTTTTTCCCTTTCTCCAGCGATTACGATATTTTATGCTACAACGGTAACCAACCGTCTCATTTCTTTGTCCTATTGCTAGCCTCTCTGCACCTCAGGACATCGTCAATTGTGATAAAATAAGATAAATGACAAACGTAACTAGACAGATACAAGATCAAATCATGATAATCTGGTTAGCATTCACACTACCCAAGAGTGCTCCATATTCCTTGTGGTACCCGTACTCAATGTTTTTGCTTTGAAATGGACAGGTAACAACTTCGACTGAGAATGGGGTCGCAAATATTTTTTTAACGAAAATCTTTAGAAGCTGCATATTATCAAATTTTTTTAATCGAATCGAAAAATGAAACTGTTATTGGTTTTTTTACATAACGCAGTTTAATGAATTTTTTGCACAACACATTATGGAATTAATTTGAGGACACTAAAATTTACTTTTTTTCCTTTGGAACCGTATACTCCAAGACAAAGATACATTTAATTAATTTAAATCTTCAATCAATTACAACTGTACCTCTTCAGCAGACCACCATTTCCTGTATTTAACATATTTCATTTACTGATTCATGACAATTTTTAATTTAGTTATAACCTCTAATTGTAACATTTTTTCAGAATTGCATTACATGACAACTCTACATTAGCCAAATTCATACTACATCAACTGCCTAGTCCTAATTTATTTTAATTAAAGAGTAAATATTTTCTAATTTTAAATTATCATTTCATTGAGTTATTATTTATGTTTATTGTTTATTTTTTCATTATGTGTTTTGTGATGTGATATATATTTTTTTGAGTTATTGAGTAATGGTCCTTTTCTGAAAAATTGTTGAAATCTTTTGTTAAATTTGAAATGATGTTTTGTAATTTTAGTATTTTATTTTTGTTTATATAGCCTCATAACCTTGTTACAGTCATCTCAAAAACAAAATTGATTCTACTTATATTGCTGATATTACCTAAGGTTCTCTCTTGTAGGTAGAATTAAATCCTTATTCAACTATTATCACAGTGCATCAAAAATTAACTAAATTTGATATACTAAATACCATATTTAAAAATTTTTATTTTTAAACACTAGGAAAATCACAAACTTCATATAGAAATTCGGAAAATTAAAACTTTTCTACATCAAATTACAATTCAGTCTTAAAAGGTTGTTTAATTTCTTAAAAATGTTTACTAATACTTTGGAGTTGTTGAGATAAGCTTGATATGTATGTTTTACATAATTCACAATTTAATAAGAAAACAATAATTAAATTTTAGAAGGGAACCCTTCATTGTTATTTAACAATTATTAGTGAGTACAACAATATCAAATGTTAAGAATACTTCTTTTTTGTCAATGTACTATTTTTTATTTAGTTGATATTGTTTATTCTTGAGTCATTTGTGACCAAAAGACATCAGCTTGCTAACTATTCTCTCTAAACTTAAATAATATTTTATTTTATTTTTTATTTCCAGAATATATTCAAAAGTGAATAACTAACTGCCTGTTTAACAGTATTTGACTCTGGCATATCACAATGTTCTTGACACACTCATAACAGTCACCAATCTTCTTGAAAGAATTAGCAAATGTAAACCTTGTAGATCCATTTTAGAATTAAATGAATGATATTTCTAAGCATATGATTATGCTTTATGTGCTTTTCATATCGTTGGCAGAGTTTGATCTGTGCATGGTGCTTGTTCTTGGCAACTCCTCATCACCTCGATTGTCAACATTTGAAAGAGTCCTTCTAAGAAAACGCGAACTAAGTCTTATCACTCTTGAAAGAGGCGATGAATCAACGGATTTAACCAAAACATTGTCTGAAGGTTTGCTTGCAGCTCCTAGCGTTGGAACAGCTACATCTGATAATCTATCTGTACTTTGCCTGAAAAAAAAGACAACAACCAGACATTATTTTTATTTATTTATTTTTTTTTAAATAAGATTCAGTTATATATTATGAATTTTATAAATATTTTTTCCATTCCTTCAATTAAGCAATAGTAAAATAGTGTTCTATAAAACACTTATTTTTATGGAACTGCAGTTTATAACAGTTAGACGAAAAATTAGTTGGATCCCTTTAAGAATGAGTAAGAAGAAGTTTTATTTTTACAAAATAAGCTTTTATTTTAAATTGTTTTACGAATAATACTGTAAATATCAAGATTGTTATATGTCATAGCTTAAGTTAGTATTATTTAATAGTAGAAAGTCTGTCTTTACCCCGGTGCCTGAAGATAGGCTGGAGACAATTTGATTGCATCATCATAACTTGGAGGTAAATCAGCAACAGCATCGTATTCTGGTGGTTTTTCTCTGTTGTTGTGATGTCTCCCATGTGGTTCCATATTGACGACAACATCAATTCCTTCATTTTCCTCAGGTCTGATCTGATAACAGGAGAACAATTTTAAGTGCATCAATTCACAGTATGAATGATAATAACTACCAAGTAAAATCAACCTGATTATGTGGATTCCTTTGTGAGGCATTGGCCCAAAAGCATATGGCCATAAATACTAGAAGCGCTCCTGAAGCCAGGCATGTGTATCCTATGAACCTTACTGGGTCGGAAGTGTGCTCGGAGTCTGATAGGCCAAGCCAGTTGAAAAGAGCACCGACACACAACAATGTCATGCCATAACGATAGGCTCTAGTCCGTTCCCCACCCACCATCCTCGCTGGCTCTCTAAAAAAATATATTATTATATTTTTACAATTCAGGAATATGAAATCATTTGTCTGCTTTTTTTATTAAATTATAGAAAGGTGAGTGAAACAAAGCTTACTTTATAAAATAAGAATATTTGTTCTCCTCATCAAAACCTACAACCTGTCAAATTTTCCCTCTTTTTACCTTATTTTCAATGATTACATGATATTTGAAGCAAACTTCTATTATCTAATAATATGTAATTTTCCCTCTTTGCCATATTTTTACATATCCTGTAATCAGGATTCAATTCTCAGCGACTTATGAAGTGGCTGCAGGGATCTGTTAGCAAAGTAATTACTTCTGTAATTATTATACTAATACATATATGTTTAGCAGTCATAATTGACTGTATTAATTATTACAATTGATTATACTTTTTATCTAAGGTCTTGGTTGAGATGAAAAAATTATTGTCAAAAGCAGGATTCGAACCCATGTCCTTTGGCTCAATACATTGCTGCTCTAATGACTTGAACTATTGTGATATCAATCGATAAAAACTGGATGATGAAGCAATAAAATAGCAAGATATTCAATATACCAACAGCATATTTTTTATTGAAAATCAAACAGCAAGACTAACAAATCACTTGTTTCATGTAAGATCCCAGCTTTTTGTTTTGTCCAAATCTAGTATCAAAGAAAAGACAATCAACTAAAAAATAAAGAGGAACAGTAATTTTTCTTTTGTATGTAACAAGGTTTGACATTTTCGATTACATCTGCCATTCCCATAAGTAGGCCACCCTCACACTAGTCTCATTAGACTACTGGAAAGAAGAACCATTTTTTACCGGGTTCAGACATTTCAGAAAGTTGACCTTAATCTATCACTTTTTCTTTCTGACTATTGAAGATTGTGAGCACATTTTGAACATTTTGAAATAGAAACCAAAAATGGTCGGTTTGTTGGCGCCAAATACCTAAACTTGTTGAACTATTAAAAAAAAGTTGAAATTTTTTTTTTTTTAATTAAAAATTTAATTGGTTTTTCCCTTGATGACTTTATAATAGGTCGAAAGCTCGGAAGATAACAATTGAATTTGTTTTTTAAACCTGACATACCAAAATCCAGATTCTATGTATAGCCGAATGTAAATAAATGTCATTTATTTATGATACTATTCTTATAATTTTTTTCTATGGAAAATAATAAATCGATTTAAAGTTGGCCAATTCCCTTAACCATGTAACACACCCAGTATCACGTAATTGTTTTCTTGCGCTTCAAGAGCGACGTGTAGTGTACGTCGAAGAATAAAATGTGTTTTAATTTCCATTTGGAGACCGTGTGCTGACAATTTCAAACCTCTTAATTCGGTATTGTACCCGTGATTGTCTTCACCTTGTAGAAACCAGTTTCGCGGCAAAAGGACAAAAGGAAGCGCCGTCACCGTTTCTACCTGATCGTTACCACAATACAGTTTTCCGCAATTCCATCTCCCCGGTGTCTCAAGATCCTAAGGTGTCATCACCTAAAAATGGTGCAGTTGAAAATGTAATTTTTCGGTCCGCTTGCGCTTTCCTAATTTCAACTCAAAAACCGTAGCGGAAATGTGATATCTGAACTACTGAAAATGCATTGAATTTTCGGGCAAAAAATTTATCACAATTTGATATTTAGATCGTACAATTCATGATGAGAACCGGAATTAAGAAAAAAGACCGTCTTGGGGCCTTTCCTAGAACTTAAGGACAATTAAGCACAGCCGTATTACGCAAACGTTAAAATTGGTATGAAAGAAAAGCCAAAGATCAGCAGAATCTTCACTTCTTGGACTAAACATACAAAATAAGCACTCTCAACACAACACACAATAATGACACATCTGCACAGAAAACAAACACTTTGAGCCCTGAAGATGATCTCAATAAAGATCGAAACGTTGCACGATAAAGAAAATGTTTTTCTAAAACCTAAGTCACACCAGGGGCATATCACGATCTCCAAATAATCATACAAAATAAGGAGAGTTACGAAATTTAATCGGAGGAAGCGCCTTAAGTACTATCCGGAATATTAAAATCAACGCCCTAAAAGATTTATGGGAACATTCCTTCATGATCCGAAAGGCTCGTCATTTTAGACGATTTATAAAACTTAGGGACTATTTAAACAGAACAGAATTACTTTTACAGACATATCAAATTAAAATGAGCAAATTTTTTTAAATTAAAGTTTGGTCTATATTTTAAGGTTGAAGGTCTTTAAGGTCCTGATTTTCACAAGGCTTTATTTGAATAAAACGGCTATAATCAGTTGAATATTTTAGTTGCACAACATTTCTAAATTTTATAATTTAAAATGGGCTTTTGCATACATTTGGCCTTCCAAATTAAGAATTTTAAAAAGATAAATTCAAGCTTTGGATGGCAATAGAATAGATTAGTTTATGAATGAATGTTTGCAGTCAGAGCTTTACAGCACTCAGATATAAAGAAAGGGATATAGCTAACCGAAGATAGACGGTTTAAGGGGTACGGCGTGAAATGACATTAAAACGCCTTTAAAAATTAATAATAATAATAGCGTCTATTTTGACAAGGCAGTTCAAAATGATTAAGTTTAAATTACAAACTTCGTACGGGTTTTTGAAGCAACAAATGAACTCGAGATAGGCGAAGAATGTGTGACTATGCCAAGTCAATCCATGCTAATTCAAAAAATATTGAGTTTTTCAGTGAATCAACCATAGATCATCCAGAAAATTTGTTACTGGAAGATAATCACATCGAAACTGAGTTATTGATTGAAATATATTTGTTTTCAGAAAGATAATATATACAAATTACATATTAAGGGGGAATAAAAAGGACAATGGCATGGCTAATTAATTGTTGGCTATCGGAACAATTTTAAAACCCTTTTCAAAACCTCCACAAAACGAATCAAACTTGCCATTAAAAGTTGAAGTATTTCAACAACTCTCAAGAAATGATTTGTTCTGGGCAGCAGGAAGACCTGTCCCATGACAAGAAATGATCTCAAATATTATTGGTACAAATTTAATTTTAGGTGATTGAAAATCTGTTGCAAGGAATAGGCTCAATTATTGTTATTTTAAGTCGTTGAAATACGTACTTTATACCACTCTCCGCTTTCAGTCCTTTCTATTCATCGCCCCAGGGTTCTTTTTCGTTCACACTAGTTCTCGTATCACATTGATTCCATTTTCTTTGCCCCTCCCGAGTTAAGTTTTCGCGTTAGAGCGGCGGTCTGGGGGCCATATAATATCCTTTTGTTTACTTCCCTTATCTTGAAAAGAGATAGTTTGGCCTCATAAGCCTATTTCAAAAAAAGATGTTGCTCTGTAAATTTGTAATGATTTTTCCTGACGGTGAATATTTTTTATATTTTTCTTTATATTCGCATAAAGTTTCTTCGTCGAGTAAGGTTTAAAAATAGCCAATCTATACCGCCTGCAATAATTTGATTAAAATAATTAATAATATAAACGAAATTGTACGAAAATGTTTGAAATAACAAATTTCACTATTGTCTAAGGAATAAACCTTTTTCTTGAATTTTATAATGTTACGTTTTATGTTTTGCAGTAATCAATAAATACATATTTTTTATACTTTGAAGATCATCTTTGGTTGAAAGTTGCGGGACTGCAACACGATTTTCCATGTAGATTGTAGTGATTTAAAAACCTGTCCACTTTTACCTAAAGGTATGCATTTCATGCCCATATCATGGAAAGTGCATTATGAAGAATTAAAACTTTATTTAGGCATTGTTATTGCCTCCCGAAAGTTGTGGTATCGACAAAACTAGCTAAGTCCTCCTCTGAAACTGATTCTTGTTGACAGAATATTCAAATGCAGATATTCTCCATTTGGTAAGGTGATATTTTAATGAGCAATGGGTTTTCTGTCAGCTGAGTGAAAAAAAGACTTTTTCCTGTTTTAAATTATCCACTTATTCGATTGCTTTAGACCTGACATTTTAGTCTAGTGTAAAATTATCTTTTCCTCTGCCTACTTGTCCAGTTCCACTTTCATCGTACCCGTGGTGTACTTAACTGTGGTTCTGGTCCGATGGGCTTATACTCCTTTTGCAAGTTTGTTCGTTGTCTTCAGTCCTCTTATTTCCTCATGTCCACTTCAGGATCAACTTACTAATTCTTCCAAGCGTAATTTCTTGTTCTTTGTACTTTACCACTTAAAAAAATATTGGTAATGCATTCCTTGTTAGTCTTCTTATTTTTGGTCTTTCTACAATTTTGATTGATTATTCGTTAGTAAGACCCGAACCTTTCTCCAACAATTTACTCAGAGATTTAAAAACTGTTTGATTCCAGTACTTAATTGGGTTCCACGCTGATTTGGAGTGGGTAGGTTTGTAATCGTTTCGGGACCAACTTGTTTTAAGTGTGTCAATGGCCTGTTGATTTGATCCAGTATCATACGAATTTATTTTAAGTATATTTTTAGGTCAGATATTACTACATATATATAATAATCTTTAGATATCATGGAGTTTTTCTTTTCTTCTGTTGCCTTCTTTAAAGCCTGACATTACATTCAAATATCACATAAATCATTATAAAACAATTTCGCCGTTAGGCGTACAACGAAAGACTTTTTTAGCTAAGGACTGCAACCCATTCATGGTCATTTTTAACAGGCTTATCGGTAAATATTATCATCTATTAAATCGTATGACCGATCATTTCAACTAATTGAAGATATTTCAAGGAGAAAAATCAGTGAAAGTCGATTTCAGATCACTCGCACCGCTAAGAACCAAAATTATGACAAATAATGAACTTAATTGTCAATACTGGGAGCTTGACACAATTGCTTCGTCCGCGGAATTTATATGGAGATATTCAGCTCCTACCAACAATTACAAAGAATTTCATAAAATTGTTTTGGTTTAATTTTAGAATTTTCATACTTAAAACAGTATGATGAATTATTGAAACAATATGACTTTGATTGGATGTGTTAAGAGCGTTAATTAA